GATTTTGGTTTTCACAACTGAAGGGGGTGTGCAGTCGATTTCCAGTGGGTGGGAGCCAAGGACGCTGCTAAATGTCCCACCACACACGCGCGAGTCACCACCTCGAAGAAGAGCCAGCCGGGCCAGCCGTGAAGCTCTGCTCTCGCTCTGTAGCACAAGGATAGAGTTGAGGGGCAAAATCAGAGCCCGAGAGACCAGTAAGAGACTGTGGAGATAGCGATGGTGTGGAGGCAATGAGGAAGGGAAAAAACAGGTAGATTTGTGCAAGATTTAGAACAGAATCATGAGAGCCAATGGGGTGTGTAGGTGAGGAAGGCAAATGAGCTTTCCACTCTGATTTGTGGAACTAGGTAGATGATGAAGAAACGAAGAGGAAAGCAGATGTGGTAAGGATGAGAATGAAATGCATTCGTTCATTTACGCAAAAACCCTGCTTGAAGAATACCACGGATAGCACCGTGGGACAAAACAGGCCTTGCATGCCCAGGCTTTCATCTTGTGAGGACAAAAAAAAGAAATAGAGAAACAGTCCAAACAGTGGTGAGATGGGGAAGATCCACACACTGTGGGAAGACAGATGAGGGGTAGAGATCTCAGACCAAGTCTGGGTAGGTTCCTACAAAAAACAACATTTATAGTGATTATTCAAGTATAACATAGTTATCCAGGCAAAGAAGTGGTAGAAAAGTATTTGGGGTAAAATAAAAGTATGTGCATAGGCTCAGTGACCCATCAGATTCCCTGTGGCAGAGGGATACAGGGACGTGAGTTACAAGGCTGGAAAGCAGGAAGGGACTAGTACCGGGCCTTACAGATCCAGAAAAGAATTTCAACTTTTACCTGAGAGCAAATGGAAGCGTGCTGGAAGTGGCATGATTCAGTTTATACTGATAACTCGGGCTGAAGTATAGAGAATGGACGGGGCTGGGGCGAAGCCTGGGGACGGAAGGACAGTTGAAGGGGCTACTGCAATAATAAAGGCAAAAGATGGTGAATGTCTCAACTAGAGCAAAGGCAGGGAGATGCAGAGGTGGGGGTGGATGCGAGAGGGATTTCTGAGTTTGAATCAACAGGACTTGTGCATTCATTGGATAGGAAGGCGTGAGGTTAGAAAGAGAGTGTGGAGTCGTGCTGGACGCGTAGGGTCTGCACATCCAGGGGCATCCAGGTGGAGTGCTCAGTGGTTCACGTGTGCTCCACCAACACTTGGGGGGACGTCACCTAGGGCTCTGGTCAGGAAGAAGTATTCTTGAGCCCCACTGTACTCTATTGAATCATTTCTGAATAGTCGCTGCAAATGTATGAAAACGAGAGAATATTGAATGAAGGTGAAATTAATTTGACAAGTCTAGATACAGGGACCTAGGCAGGATTAGTGTGGGGAGATGAGAGTTTAAGGGGTGTGTGTGTGGTGGGGGGAAGCTCACTAGATAAAAGAAAAGCCTTGTGTCACATAAGGATTTTTTGGCTAATACCTCTTAAGATTTGTAGCAGGGCTTGCTAAGATCATTTTGGCATTTCAGACAGATCTTTCTATTGGAGGTATGAAGAATGGAAAGGCATCCAGGAGAGCAGCTGTGAAAGTTTAGTATCAAGCAGAGTAATTAGAGACGAAGTGGGGCTATATTAATGTGTGAGAACTCTAAGAGACGGGCATCAGTCAGGCTTGTGAGTAAATGCAGAAGACAAGGTGTCTTGGCATCGTCTGAATGACCAAGTTCAGCTAGCTTTTACCAGCGTAGCTTTTGTGGTGTGACTGTTGCTTTTATTCACTCTCCCAAGTAGAAGTTGTTTGCCTCAGAAACCTGGGAGTGGGTGCAGGGCCGCTGGGCCTCCAGAATGGCTGAGTGCTGCACCCTCCACCTAGGTGCATGAGGACTCAGACAGTCACGCACACCCTTAGGTGAGCGTGCGTCCTTCCTGGTACGCGCACCCTTGCACTTGGGGGCAGCCCAGGTCAGTTGCGCTACAGGCTTCCTCTGGCCCTTCCTCTACACCTTCCACTGGCCAGCCATCTTCTTCTGCCAGCCCCAGAAACCTGCCTCTGCTGTTCTCATTCCCAGTCACAGGTAGGGTCTGCAGAACTGGTGAAGAGCACTGAGCTGTGGGCATGTAGCAGGAGGGACACAGCCTGACAGGCCCCAGGAAAGAATCTTCACAATCTAACTTGTAGTCTAGCTGCAGGCATAGTAAATTACCTGGCCGTTCCCAACCTCCCCTGCAACATTCCCATCTCGAAGCTTTTCCTTCCAAGTTCTTTTCGCCTCTTGTGCCATCTTCTCCCTGTCGCCTTCTCTGTTCATCCCAGAAGTGCCTGCTGGGCCCTCTGCATTTTTCAGGGTACTTCACTTACCACTATTGATCTTATCAGATCTTGGCTTGTATTTGGTTTCTCTATGTATTTAATCTTTCCTGTTGTTAAAAGTTCTCAGAGAATTGAGTACGTTGGATTCTTTTTTTTTTTTTTTTTTTT